TATACTATCATAGCAGATCAATGTACTATATTGAAATTATTAATATACTATGTGTTTGCATAATACGGGATCCATAGTCGATTAACGAGATCCATAGTCGAATTAGATCAATAAGATAGTCTATTACATGATATAAGGAAAATTACCCTAATTGATTAGTATTTCAAACAAACATATTATTCAGTTTCCATATATATTATTATTTTTTCATATATATTATTATTTACCTTAATCGTTTTCATATAATAAGGAAAATTACCCTAATTGATTAGTATTTCAAACAAACATATTATTCAGTTTCCATATATATTATTATTTTTCCAATAGTCAATTAACTAAACTCATAGTCGAATTAGATACATGGGATAGTCTATTAAAAGATATGAGATAGTCTATTAATTTTAAAACACAAATCCGCTGCCGTCACTTCTCAAATCTAGGGTTTTGATGATTCTTCGGCCCATAGTCGATTAACGAGATCCATAGTAAAATTATAGCAGTGGGATAGTCTATTAAATGATATGGGATAGTATATTAATACATATATAATTCGACTATGCATCTCGTTAATCAACTATGGGCCGAAGAATTATCAAAACCCTAGATTTGAGTAATCTTAGATTTGAGTAACCCTAGATTGGAGCAGTGACGGCGACGGCCGACGACGATATCACTTCTGGTGGATGTCCTGCTCATCAATTGTTGCAATATCACTGATTTAGTGCTCGAATTCGGTATGCGATTCTAACAGATCTGCAATTACACAAACGTGATAGTCGATTTAGCCAAAACATATCAACAAATCGATTGATGATAGTGATTCAGCGAGTGGCGACGACGTACCTACGACAGCTTGCTCGGAGTGCACGAAAATCGTCGTTTCACGGCAGTGCAGACGTCTTCCCCTTTCAATCGGCCGTACCGGGAAGTTGTTCTAGGAGGTTTTGCAGTTTATTCGATAGTGGGTTTGGGATGATAGTGATTTAACGGGAAAATAGGAAGGGATTTGATTTTATTTCAAAAGGTAAAGTAACGAGTTTTGTGGGATTTGATTGAGGGTAATTATGTAATTAGGAAAAGTTTGGGCTGTTATCAAAATGGCAAATATAAATTTGGGTCTACCCCTATTATTTGAATGTTTAAGGGGGTTATATCTAATAGACCCTTATAATTAACGTGAAATATTGCATAATATAAAATAAAAAAAAAAAAAAAAAAATTAGCTACTATCTATTAATTTACATGTTGTGTACAATCAGCATACACCATATATTGTGAACCTAATTAACGAATCTTAATTATTGGTGTTTGGAAAAGTTTTTATAAATAGATTATGAGTTTTTTCTTGCTAGTAAATTTGTTTTTTAGTGTGTGCAACTATAATATTTACTTTAGTTTTTTTCTTAATATTTACTATAATATTTACTTTATTTAAGATCTTTTAATGAGTAAAAATAGGAAATAAGCTTATTATCCAAACACTCTAAAAATTAATCCTAAAAATAAAATGTAACAGCTTATCAGCTCTTAAAATATCTTATCTGACGTAAGAGCTTATCAGCTGTTTAAAATAAGTTTAGCCAAACACCTTCTAAGTTTATTTTAAGTTATAATTTCAAAAGTATTTCTACAACATTTGTGCCTTATTGTTTTTATTTTTTAATAAATATAATTTATTGGGACATTTTAAGCTAACGTATTAATTTATTATACAAATTTTTTTTTTTAAAAAAACCTGAATTAAATATGCAAAAACCACTACAGTTTCTAAGTTATTTAAAATAAATCTCGTGTGACTTACAACAGAATAAAACATAGAAAAAAAAATACCAATTACAAGAAGTGCTTCTCTAAAAACCCTACCTTACAAATTAAAGTACAATAATATATATGCAGTAGAACATTGATTAATTAATACTCGATAAATTAAAATAACATAGCTTAAATAGTAATTTCTGCCGGTCCCAATTCGGTGAAAACTTACGAAATTATTAATTTGATAATTTAATATTTCACTAAATTAATAGATTTTCCTGGTCCTGAATGTTAAATTCTTGAGTAGATACCCTCAGAACCTTT